CGCTGTTATCACGGAACGTGGCAACTATTCTTTTCAGCTTATTCTGAATATTGATAAATCAGTCATAATTAGAAGATAATGCAATCATATTCTTTCTTATAGCAAGGAATAAAACATGTTCTAAGGCTTAAAGCTGCATAAACCGGACTACATCTATGCCAGGAGACTATGCTGCAAGAAATTCAAAGCTCTAAATCATGCTTGTTCCTCACTTGTAGATACCTCGAGTAATCTTATTGGGGTATTTTATGAGCATTTGGAGGCCATATTCCAAAGGATTTGCGACACCCTTCGGATTCCGTTTCACGCACTTTAAGTTTAACAGCGTTTAACACGCGAACACGTGCATCTAGCTAAACATATGTTTATAATTATTAACTTACGTCACGATTTCTTTATCCGGGAAATGATATAATACTTTGGTAAGTTACAAACGAGTAGACAACGCATAAAATGTTCTTTAATTAGGGGCATCTAACGTTTCGGACCAAGCTCGGTTCGTCTTCAGTGTATAATCAAGATTCTAATGAAACGTCAGATGTCTCTGTAAAAGTTGCCCCTGTGAAAGTCTCTTATAGTGTTTCGCACTGTTAACGATGAAATCGAAAACCCATATCACTTATAATGGATTGGATCATGGCAGCGGTGTATCGAAGTTACTTGTTCCATTAAATGACTTTTTCCAGGTAATATCAATCGGCAAGAAGGTCGACGTTGAGACAGACATTTGCCTGGGACAACGGCTCAATATGCGACATGAACAGATCGGAGAAATTCTGTGGAAAAAGAGGGCCTGATGGTGTGTGTTCCATTCCATCAAAGACGTACTCCTCAATTACATCAAGAAAGAAACCTGTACCTACTTCGTCAGTTCTACTCTTCTTGCAGCGATTTTATATGACTGTGAAACTTGGTCACTGACAAATGCAAAAAAAGTGGCAGCCATCTATCATCAGAAGATCTACGAGAAATAAATATTGATAATCTCACTTCGCGCCATGCTCTCAATAAGGAAATCAGACAACGGAAAGAA